CGTTGTGCACGTGTCCTGACACAGCGTTTCCACGGGGCTTGACTCCGGTTGCGGTCAGAGCAGGGGGGACTGTCTGCCTGGCCGCTCCATTCTCTTTGGGGTGGCCTAGGGCCGGGTCTCCCTGACAACCTTTGGCTGACCAGATTCCTTCTCTTCTCTGTAACAAACTCTCCCTTGGCCTCGCTCTTATAGGGACACTTGGGATTGGGTCGCCTGGGGGGCTTAGTCGGTGAAGCGTCTGCCTTCGGCTCAAATCATGATCTAAGGGTCCTGGGATCGAGCCCCGCATCGGGCTCCCTGCTCAGCGGGGAGCCTGCTTCTCCCTCTCCCTGCTGGGCACCCCTGGCTTGTGCTCTTGTTCTCTCTCTCTCTCTGGCAAATAAATAAATAAATAAATAAATAAAGGACACTTGGGATTGCATTTAGGGCCCGCTTGGATAATCCAGGACATCCTCGTCATTTCAGAATCCTTAACTGCATCTGCGAAGACCCCCCCCTTTTCCAAATAACAGAATGGTCACGTCTGGCTGTGGTTCCTGAGATTGGCAGGACCTTCCTTTGGAGCCCCTGTGGTTTCTAGGCCACCGGCTTAGCCATGGCATGGTTGGAAATGCTAACGCATGCCACTGAGGTTTTCCTTGTGCCCCGGCCTCTGCCACAAGGATCCCAAGTGTGACCACCAGACTCACAGTCCCCCCCAGGACACAGAGAAGCTGACCCCAGAGGTCCCAGAAGGTGGAGATGGAGTGAGGGGGCTGAGACATTGTCTCACTAACAGCTGCTACCGTGGCCCCTTGTCCTTGAAAATCCCATTATCTGAACATCTTTGAACTTTTGCTGGCATTTACGTGACTCACGTGGATCTGGTGAAAGCTGTGTTTGAGAAATGAAAAAGGAAGTGAGGATGAGCACCCCCCGCGAGAGTGGGGCTCTCTCTGGCAATGTCTTGGGAGGGAGGTGACTCACTGGGGTCTGAGCAACAAAGGGTCTGCTGTGGCTACAGGACCAAAAAAAAAAGAAAGCCCTTCCTCTGCCCCCTGGCTGCCCCTCGGAAGCGGGAGCCCTGGGCTGGGTGTCCTGAAGGAGGCGTTTGGCCAGTCCTGGTGCTGCCATTTATGAGCTATAAATGCCTGCACACATCTGGGGGACGCGGCTGACCATTTGAACCTCGGTTTCCTCCCCTGTGAAGTGGGTGTAATTCTAGAGCCCGCCTCGCGGGGTGGGAGTGAAGAGTGAGTGGATGCATGTCTGGAAACCGCCGAGAACAGTCAGGCCCGTGCTGGGTGTCACGTAAGTGTTTCCTGCTGAGGTTGCAATGATCTGAAAGCAGAGATGGTTAAGGTCACCTGTCCCCCTCGTTGGCATGGGTGTTAAATGAAATAGCGCACGTCCGTGCTTAGAGCGGGGCCTTCCCGATCTCCCCGCGTTGCATTCGAGCTCCCTGTGGGCAAGGCCCTCTGTGTCCCCGGTCTCGAAGAGTGTGTGGCTCATTGTAAACGTGCAGCGAGCATTTGCTGGAGGGATGATCGAATAAGTCCGCGTGCTCTGCAGGCGGCTTCTTGAGGCCGGTGGTCCCAGGCCCGAAAGTATCTCAGACATCATGTCAGGCTTCCTGAGACCATTGCTTCCCTGCTGTGGGGCAGGCACGTGGCTTCGGCAGAGAATGCTGGACGGTTGCAGCAGAGGAATTAAATAACCACTTTGCTGTGTCAAGCAGAGAACAGAATAGCAGGGGCTCGCCTGGGGGCACGGGGCACAGGGATGCGGGGGGGGGGGGCGGGTGATGCATAATCACGCCAGATGCCACCAGGCCTCTGCTCATCATTTCAATGGGGGTGGGAGGGAGTGGGGACTCCTTTTGTCAGAATGACACGGAAGTGGGGTAAGGAGGCCCTGTCTACCTGTCCCTTCAGAGGAATCCCCAGGAAACCACTACAAAGTCACCCTCTAGGAAACCCAGCCAGCAGATGGGACCTCGGGGCGATGCGGAGGTTGCCCTTGCTCTGGGGGACCAACCTCAGGGGAAGGGGGTGCTAATCCCCTGCTCCTTAGCAGCCCTCCCCGTCTTCCCCTTCTCCAGGCTGCCCGGCTGCTGTAGGCTTTGCCCCAAGAGCTCAGGACTGCCCAAAACTGAGGTCTGCAGGGTCTTCGGGAATTCTCCTCAGCGCGTGGTGGCTCAGTTCCCCCTGGGGGAGGGAAGAGCAGGGATGGGGACATGAGCGGCCACGCTGGCTTGCTAGCTCAGCGATTTCTGAGACCTGAAAGCAACCCAACAGCAAAGCAGAATTAGCCATGTTATTTGAAGTTATTCACATAAAGAGATTTATTAATTTTTTTTTATCAAACGATAAGCGACGAGCAGCATTACGCGTCGGGCGTATAGCATAGCGCTCTGATATTTTTACATGTTACGAAACGGTCCCCGCAATAGATCTAGTCACCGTCTGTCATCATACGAAGTTATCACGGTATTAGTGACTACGTTCCCCAGGCCGTCCTTTACATCCCCGTGACTTATTTATCTTGTAACTGGAAGTTTGTACCTCTTAATCCTCTTTGCGTAAAGAGATTCAGATGATCTGTGTCCACTGCGTTTATGTGCCTTCCAGAAGCAAGATGCATGTGACGTGCTTTTCAAGTCTTGTGTATATGTTCTGTATATCAAATGAGAAGCATTTGAGGATGATTCTGGGTTAGAGAATCCACATGAAAGCATTTAATAGGATGGTAAAAAACATTCCTCCTTAATGGTGGGTCACAGCTTCTTTCTACAGTTGTCTCTGTGGGAATTGGACTTGAGTCAGGGTCACTGGGACCAACTAAGGTCTGGTCAGCATTAGGCTCTACGGGGGTCTCTCAACCTTGGTACGATTGACATTCGGGGCCGGGTCATTCTTGTTGCTTGCGAGTGGTGGTTGGCATCATCGGAGTTTAGTGGCATCCCTGCCCCCTGCTTATCAGACGCTGGGAGCTCCCTGTGGTGGGCATAATCATGACCACCCCAATCCCCAGCCCCATACACACACATCCAAGATATCCCTGTCTTGGTCCCTGCAACCCATGAGTATGTGCGGTGACATGGCAAGAGAGTTGACGCTGCAGATCAGATGACTGTGAGATGGGGAAATTATCCTGCATTATCCATATGGGCCCAGTATAACCAGAAGGGTCCGCGTGGAGAGGACTGGACAGACCATTGCTGGCTTTGAAGGTGGAGGAAGGGGGCCGGCCACGAAGGAGTGCAGGCCGCCTCCAGGAGCTGACAAAGACAAGGGAACGGATTCTTCCCTGGTGCCTTCACAAGGAGCACAGGTCTGCCACGAAATGTCTCTGGAATCGCCTCTGGTTCCGAAACAGGGGCTCTGTGGAGCGCCATATTGTTTTCCCCGGAAGCCGTGAGAGGAATGGGTTTCTGTGTTGTGCGATGGGAATGAGGCTGGGAGTGAGTGTGCCCAGCCCAGCAGGGTTGGCTCTGGGAGGAACCAGTGGTATAAAGGGGGGGCGGCTGCCACAGCCCCTCCCCGGGGCTCCTGGAGCTGTCACTCTGTCCTTTAACAGCATAGTGTTCCTGTTGGTGTTTGTGCATATTTGGACAGGACTCGAGTAGAAGCTGAGCTATCTTCAGCTACGCCATAAAAGAGAATATAAAAACTCCATAAAACACTGAAATGTGAGCCGAAGCAGCGTCGCTCGCGGAGGCCTCGGCTTGGAGGGCCAGCATGCTGGGCGTCCTACCATTTGTAGGAGTCGTGGGCGGAGAGGAGAGGCTGGGGAGCCCAGCCCATGCTGGGGGCCACCAAGCCTGGGCTCTGGGCCAAATACGCAGCCCCCTGGACCCAGCCCTGATGCTGTGATTCTGTTTATTTTGCTGAATGTGACATTCATGTGGTTCTGATTTCTTCTCTGTGATCTGTCATCTGTGTGCCTTGGGAACCAGAAACCAAGCCAGGTGGCTTTGAAGTTGTTGTTCTGGGGTAAGTAGGGAGTCGTGCTTGTCCAGGGTTCATTGGGACAAGCACGAGGTGCCCTTTGATTTGAGATGCGCGGGAAGCGGACTGGCTGGCGAGGTGGGTTCCGGTCCTGGCCCGGGAGCTGGGCTGGGTCAGAAGGGAGGGATGGATCCATTCCGTGATGGGCTGGCCTAGCTGGATCCAACCCATAGATGGAGGCCGGTGGTTCCCAAATTTCAGGGTGCGTCACAGTCACTGCCCAGGAGGCCTTGTTAAAACAGACCGTGGGACCCTAACCCCAGAGTTTCTGGTTCAGGAGGGCTAGGATGAGACCCAAGGGTTTGTACTTTCTAAAAAATTCCCCAGTGTGGCTGAGGCAGCTGGTCCAAGGTTGAGAACCATGCGCCTAGGACAAGAAGAGGGTCTTTGTAATGAAAAATGGTACTGATAACAAACAGTTCTCAGAACTCTACAGTTTATGCATGGGGACCCCGTGTTTGATCCAAACACCGCTACGACGAGACTGTGCCATCCTCTGATTTTTTTTTCCTCCAAGGTGAAAAATAGTTTCTTTCTTTTTTTTTTTTAAGATCTTATTTATTTATTTGAGAGAGAGAGAGAGCACGGGTTGGGGAGGGAGGGCAGAGGAAGAGGGGGAAGCAGACTCCGCGCTGAGCAGGGAGCCCAATGAGGGACTTGATCCCCAGGACCCTGGGATCATGACCTGAGCCGAAGGCAGACGCTTAACCGACTGAGCCACCCAGGCGCTCCAAAATGGACTTTTTTGGGTGTACAGTTGTACATATATATATAGTCATGTAACCACACCCTCAACCAGGATATAGAATAATTCCGTCACCCCAAGAACCTCCCTCATGCTCCTCCTCTGCCCCCCATGAGCCATCCATCCCTATAGCATTGTCTTTCTGAGCACGTCATGTAAACAGGATCGTACGGTATGTAACCTTTTGAGCCTGGCTTCCACACGTGTGAGATGCTCCAAGTCACCAAAGTGACTTAGTTGTATCCGTAAGTTGGCTCTTTTGTATTGGGAGTCGTGACCCCCCCCCCCCCATGGATGTACTGTGGTTTGCTCTCCATCCCCTGTGGATGGTCTTTGGTTGCTTCCAGTGTGGGGTTATGGTAGATACAGCTGCTACGCACATTCGTGCCTAAGACTTTGTGTGGACATTTTTTTCCCGTTCTCTCGGGTACACACCTGGGAGAGGGATGGTTGGCTCATATGGTGAGTATATATGTCCACTTTCTAGGAAACCACCAGGCTGCTCTCCAGACGGGCTGCTCCGTTTTGCATTCCCACAGCAGTGTACGGGATTTCCAGGGGCTCTGCGCCCTCGCCGACGCTTGGGGTTGGCATTCTTTTTATTAAGTTTCGTCCTTCTAGATCAGGGCTGATTTTAAAATGTGTGAATGAATCGCAGAAAGGCTCGGAGTTGTCCAAGGCCCCCCAGCCTCTTGGTGGCTCCTTGGACCCAGGCCTTTTGCCTTGAAGGCTGGGAACATTCTGGGTGGTGGCTGTGTTGATCAGAAGCTAGGAAGCTGGAGCTGGAGCTTCTGAGTGTGAATGGAGCTCAAGCAACATCCAGGGCCCGCGTGGCCGAGTAAGGCGCATGCCCAGGGACTAGGGAAACAAGGAGAAAGCAGAACAAAGAGATGACCCAGAAGGAAAGACACACATCGTAGCATCACAGAGGTGGAAGGCACTAGGCTGCTTCTCCATCCCTTAGCCCCCTGCCCCCCACCTCTTATTTTTAGGCTGAGAGGCTCAGGCAAAGCAGCCGACCAAATGTACTCACTGTGTCTCTTGACTCCATGCCCGTGGCGGGCCTTGGCAGGAGCCACCTTTGTTTCCAGAAGCATCCTCGGTGATGGCATCAGGGCTTTTGCAAATTGAAGTACCTGATCAAGATCAGCATACTCCCTCGGAGTTGCCTTGGCCTTGGGGCCGCTCCAGGCGGGAGTTGCCTTTAGGAAGGGGCTCATGCGGGGGGGGGGGCTGTGGTCATAGCTGCAACCAGAGCCCGTGACTTAATGGGAAGGAGGGAGGTTCACCGAGGGGAAGGCCCTTTCTCCGGAGGCCGTCCCTCCCACCCTCGAGGGGACTGGGCGAACTGCCCTGGAAGGCTGTGGACATGCTTTCCCGATTGCAGAATACTTCTCTTTCATTTTGAATATCATTTGTTTGGTTGCTACGGCAACGCCAAGTCTCTATTTTAATGCTAACCTGCGTGGCTGCAACTTTCTATATATAAATGCTGCTTTGCACAGTGAATTAGCTGATGCCATGGAAAGCAGCGGATGTAGAGACGGTGGCAGAAAATGACCAGCGCGTCAGCTTTGCAAGAAGAGGGACTGCAGGGCTGAGGTGAGTCGGAGCCCCGGGCAGGTGCTCGAAGCCCACTGGAGCCCAGCAAGAGCCAGGGGGCCGGCCGGCCGGGGGGCGGGGGGGACCTGCCCTGGGGAGCCTCTGTGGGCAGGTGCTTGGCTCTGCGATGGAGTGACCCGGGCTGATGCTTCTGTTCGCCCACCTGTCTGCCCTCGGCATTCCTTCACTGAGTCCGGGTCGCATGGGGACCCCAAGGCTTGGGAAAGCGCAAGCCACTTGGGCAGGGGGTGGAGGGTATCTGAGGTGGTGAGCTCAATGGGAAGAGAGTTTTGCTTGCTGCCTTCAACTTACCTGGGCGCCCTCTTCTGAATCTTCACCTCTTCTGTTTTGCTTTTTTCTTAATTCCTGAGTGTGGCCACGCCTTCTCAAGGCCACAGGGTTCCAAATGGTGCAGGTAGAGTACTCAGGAAAAGACTGGAAGGGGCTTTCGGGAATCAGCAGGGTCCGCTCCTTCGGGCTCCAGGTGAGGGACAAGCCCAGAGAGGTGCGGTGTCATGCCAGATGTCACACGGCCGGTCAGGGACAGAGTGGGACAGCAACCAGGTCCACGGGGATCTTCTGACTGGGACATCTGTGCCTTGTGGGGGCGCATTCTGTCGGGTCGGGGCGGCCCTGGGTGTACACACCAGAGCTATGGGGGCTGTAGAGAGGGAGGCACAAGTTGGGGGGTAGATAGCAAACACAGGATTATGTAACAGCATCTGAAGCCACTTAAGGCTTTTGGAAAGTGCATGCAAGTGGGAGTCTCGGAAACTCAGATTCGTGTGGATTCAGCCCCTTCCCGTGCGACAGTTGTGTTAGATTCTCTCGGTTTCCCCACCTGAGCACGGGGTGCACAGAATCTCTTTTCTTTCCCACCTCCGTTGCGGTAAGTCAGTGTCACGGCCCGCGTGACGTGTTGGGGTCTGTGTTCGGGCCCTGAGGGGGATGTGATGCATCTGTACACCGAGCAGTTTGGAAACCACTCAGCTCCTTCTCCCCCTGGGGCAGGGAAGGGGGATGCTGCTGGGAGCAGAGTTCTCCAAAGATTGGGTTTTGTGGTGTGAAGCAAAATGCAGTGCAATTTTATCATGATTAGAAAGTCTCACTCAGGGCTTCCTCTTCTTTGACATCAAGCATTCGACAGAGATTTTAAGTGCGCCGGATCCAGAGACTTGGACCCTGTTCTCGAAAAAGAGAAGACCCGAGGACTCTAAGCGCCCGTGAGTGGTACGCAGTCCTCGGAGGCTGGGAGAATCGGGAGCGTTTATCTCTGCCTGGGTGGGTCCAGGGAAGTGAAGCGAGGGAAACCTTTATAGGAATTTCTGATGCAGAGGGAGGTCAAGGAGGGGATCTTCACAAAAGGAGATCGGGACGAGGTAAAGCAGGGTTTCTTGGAACCGTGAGTCTCGAGCCACACAGTGTATATGATCCGTGTTAATCAGCCTAAGAGGTCAAATGGGAAAATCTCAGCATGCGTTGCATGCCGTAGGGTACACATCACGACATGAAATCTGTGCTTTGTGTGTGTGTACATTGGGTCGTGAAGTAAAATGCGCTTTTCACTGTGGGTCAGACTTTGAAAAACAGAGTTGGGTGAACTGCTGGCTTTGGGTGGTTCCCTGAATGAGCCAGAATTTTCTCCTGCAGAGAGAAGGCTGTGGATCTCCTTTCCAGGGAAAAGCCGGAAGGAGAAAGGAGGGCTTCTCAGGGGGAGCCCTGGGCAAGCATCATTTCCAGACGCCGATGTGGTGCTGTGTGCATCGTGGAGGGGACGGCAGGGCAGTTGGGAAGTGTGAGGTCTGGGGACGGGGAGGTGGCAGTCCTTCTTCCCAGGGTCTGAGGTCAGGAGGAGAGCCCCCCCGTGGGCAGATGGAGAAGGACACTGTGATTCTTGCAGTGACTGCCCCGAGGAAGGGAAGACCCAAGCCGGGGTGCCTAGCTCTGGGGCGAGAGGAAGTTGGCCACACATTTGCAGCCCTTAGAATCCCTGGACACTGGAGTTCAGCTGCACCAGCAGGTGGTGTTGGCGGTAAGAGGTCTCCACGGAGGGATGGTTAGCGTAGGGTGGCAGCAACTAATTCATACTCTTAGTCTAGGATGGTGGTATGCAATTCTTTAAAAACCAGGGAGCCCTCTCTCGAAACAACTGCTTATGCAGATACCTAGCAGTTTCTCGAGGAGCTGCACATTGGTGGCCACCGGTTAGAATCGAGTTCAGGACCGTGGGAGGTTTTGTTGTCGTTTTCGCCCATGGTTTCCTTTTAAAATTGTTGAGTCGGTTTGCCAACATCTAAAAATCATCAGATTTCACGTTAGAAATTAAGATACCCAGCGTCTCTTGCAAAAAAAAAAAAAGAGTAGCTTTGGTGACGCCAAGCTTTGGCATCCTGCAGGGCAACAACACACTGATGCTGAGGGGTAGGTTTTCCAGTTTGCCGTAGCCCCCACCCATCTCTTCTGTTCACCAGCACTGAGACCAGTAATGGAACAGTGGCCATCATTCCTTTTTTTACGTTGGGGTAAAATTGGTATATAACATTCATAAGTGTTGGTGTGCAACGTTGTATTTCAACATCTGTCTGTGCTACAAAGTGATCACCCCCAAAAGTCTATCCCTCACTGGACAACTCAGCCCTCTATCCATTTTGCGCCCACCCCCGCCAAGCTCCCTTCCCCTCTGGTCAACATCAGTGGGTCTTCTGTATCTGTGATTGCACATACGAGTGAAATCATGTGGTATTTGTCTTTCTTCTTCTGCCTTATTCCACTTAGCATGATACTCCTCTAGATCTATCCGTTAGTTCTGCTCTGTTCTTTATTATTTCTTTCCTTCTGCTAACTTTAGGCTTCATTTGTTCCACTTTTTCTAGTTCCTTTAGGCCTGACATTAGATTGCGATTTTTCTTGTTGATCGGGTACGCCTGGATCGCTATGAATTTTCCTCTTAGAACTGCTTTTGGTGCATCCCATGGGTTTTGTTACGTTGTGTTTCTGGTTTTTTTGTTTGTTTGTTTTTTTTTGTCTTTAGGCATTATTTGATTTCTTCATTTCTCTGATGACCCACTGGTCATGGAGAGGCATGTTGTTTCATTTCCTCATGTTTTTGTAGTTTTTCCAGTTTTCTCCTTGTAATTGATTTTTCGTTTCATACCATTGTGGTCGGATAGGATGCTTGATAGGATTTCTGTCTTCTTGAATTTTTTGAGACTTGTTTTGTGGCCTAACATTTAATCTCTCCTGGAATATGTTCCATGTGCAATTGAGAAGAATGTGTGCTCTGTTGCCTTTGGATGGAATGTTCTGAGTATCTCTGGCTCAGAGCATGGATAGAGGGCCTACACCTGTTACTGTCATGTTCCATCCTTTGAAGACCAAGAGGGGAGGAAAGACGGGGATCCCTGGCCAAAGAAAAGGAGTTGAGGGTTTCACCTCACATCACTCCTGGCAGAGTCCCATGCATGCTTCGAGGGCTGGAGGAGTATTTCTGTTTGTGGGACCCCAGCACATCCTAAGAATCCCTTTTTATCCAGCCATCAGCTATTCAGCACTTCTGTCTGTGGGTCTCACTGGTGCAATCGTAGTGAGCAAACCCCTGGGCCTTTGAATGTCCTAGAGAGAAAGATAGTCACTGGGCTCTCTTCTTATGGGAGAAGGGTTGTGTGACCCTAGCAGACAAGGCCAGTGGATTGAATGATGTCAAGAGAGATCAGGTTGGCTGCTCAAGCATATCAGAGGTAGCTATGCATTCGTGGGCTGGGAGTCCTTGAGTGAAAATAATATACCAGTTCTTTAAAAAGTATGGGTAAGAGCCAACCACATGTGTACATTTCACATCAAGCATTGGTCGCTCAGACTGGTTTTGTCATAGATGATCACCTCTGGCCTCTACCCACTTTCTCTCTGGCTAAAAAACTTACAGTTACGTTTGTGGACAATTTAGGTGACAGAGAGAGTGAGTCTTTCCTGAATGTATTTACTTGGAGGGCCCTAGGCCCATGAGAGGCTTGTTTCAGAGACCCAGCCAAGCTACTGATGACCCTTCCCCAAGCCTGTCTGGTTCATTTGTGATTTGGGGACCCCTGACAGGATTTCAGTATGGAAGTAGGCTCCACGCCCTTTGTGGAGCCCAGTGCGGGGCTTGAACTCATGACCCTGAGATCAAGACCTGAGCTGAGATCAAGAGTCAGACACTTAACCAACTGAGCCACCCAGGCGCCCCTGCCTCTACCTTTTTGTCTCCTGCTCTTCCTGTACCCCTCACATGGGTGGCCAGGTGACTCCAGAAAGATAAGACCCCCACTTTCTAGGGGGGGGACTGACAAATCCTACTCAGAGACTTGGGGGGATCTCCATTGATTCCACATATGTTCACTGGGTGTGTTTTCTGTGTCTGGGGACACATGTGAGTAGGACACTGTGCTTGCTCTTGGGGAGTGATGACCACTCATCGTAGGCCACGCAGACGAGGCCACGCAGACGAGCAGCTGTGAAAGTAGGAGTGGACCAGCTCAGGTGGGAGGGAAGGTGGGGCTGCATCTCCTAGGGGAGAGCGAGAAGCGAGGCGCCAGGCCCACCAGACAAAGCAAGGCGGGCCCCCATCCCAGCTGGAGCTTTGAATGCAGGCCAAACCTCCATGCTGCCTCTGCTTCTTGGTGTGGATGGACGGGGGGCTGCCAGCATGCACAGAAAGCTACTCACAGTGACTTAGTTTGTGGGGCTCAGTCAGTATCTCTCTCGGGTGTCATTCCACCCCGGCTGCTGGTCAGGGCTCTGTTCTGTGGGGATGTTTATCTTAGTCCTTCACTTCCCTCCTCCAGCTCCTTTCCCTCCAGTTAGCCCACGAGGCCTCCCGCTGCAGTCAGCCACCACCTTCTACCATGGGAAGCTGGTAGTTAGGGGCTTGGCCGGTCTTGGCCTCACTCACTGTAACTTCTCCCTGGAGTATTCGCGCTTGGAGAGAGGATTCTTGGCACCGCAGAGGAGCCTCGAGTGTTTTGGGGGTGGCCTGCATTGAGGGGGGGAATTGCATTGTTCTTGGAGCCAGGACACCAGGGTCAGACTGGTTCTGTGTCTTGTGAGTCGTTAAGACCTTGGGGACGACCCCCCATTTTTACTCGATTATGGAAGGAAAATAAGAATAGTTCTCTCCAGGGGCGCCTGGGTGGCTCAGTCGGTTAAGCGACTGCCTTCGGCTCGGGTCATGATTCTGGAGTCCCGGGATCGAGTCCCGCATCGGGCTCCCTGCTCAGCAGGGAGTCTGCTTCTCCCTCTGACCCTC